CTACATATGCCGCATTTTAATTTGTGAACGAACTGATCTCTAATCCGCAATTTTGCCACATTGCTATTTGACGAATTGATCTCCAATCTGAATTATTAGTGATTCCATCATGAAGTTTCAAAATTACATGATCTCCAATCTGAATTGCTATTCAAAATTACTTTTTACAAATTTTTTTTTTTTTTCCAAAATTACAATGAGCAATAGGAATTGAGACAATCTTTCTGTATCACGAAGCAACTCCATGGTCACGTTATCAATTCAATGATAAACTCCATGATTAGGTCTCTCAAAAAGAAATTCTACTTCTAATATGGTATATGAGCATAATTATGATCACATACATCACATCTAAGTTAGGTTTTTTCCTCTTTTTGGCATTCATAACTTAGAGCCTTGGTTATTACGGTGAAGTGAATCTCATTCTGTTTGGCTATTGGAATGACATACTTTAGTGGTGGAAAAATCTATACAACATAAATTACCATAAAAATACAACACTTTCAATCACCATATCTACAAAATCTAGGGTTTATGCAAATGCCTAGACATGCACACTGTTCTTCTTGAGTAAAACCGTAAAAGGTTGTACGAAGAAAGATAGTTAAAAGTGGAGAATTCTATAAGGAACTTATATGATTTTTTTTGTTTCCTATACATTATATGTTGCTTATGAAAAAGATAGTGMGAGTAAGAAAACATATCACTCACAAGTAAACCTACGATTAAACATGAAAATAAAATGGGTTTGGAAACGAAACAAAAACAAGACAGCAGCATATTTACTGAAGCATGCCATGTATGCATGTGAATGATTGTGAGTTGGTACGAATTCAGTAAATCTTTGGGGGAATTTGGGCATGGAGATAAACTATTGTGTTAATTTTATGAATTTTAAATAGATTGTGCAATCGCTGTCAACTACTAAAAGACCACTATTAGTTCACTGTCACTTATAGACAACATCCACTGTTTTGCATCAAAAGAAGAAAACCAATATGTACACTATTCTAGTATCATCACATTCCATAAATCGATCTAATTTAAACCTAAGACCTCTCTGTTTAAGAAACATATCAAGCTGAAAGATGATGGATATAACGAGG